TATTTCAATATACGAAGTATGTTTTAACACACAAAAGTTTCTCAATAAAGAATGTAACTCATTTAGGAATAAAGAAGTAACTGACTTGTAGTTACGTAATCGAGAGTGTGGCTTACTTCGAAGTAGACCGATTTTTCCATATTATTCCGTGACATAGTGATCTCCCGTTTCGCATTCAGATGATGGTAAATGACTGGTGACTACAGTCAAAATAAATATTATTTGCAAAGAGCAGCTGTAACATTTTGTTTAAGCTAGAATTTGTGCACACAAATATATGATAGATATAAATCACAAGTGAAAAAAAGGGTGCACACTAGTGTTCCAAATGTTTGAAAGTTTCAAAAAGTATTAAAAGTTTACCAATCTTGCTAGAAGAAAGGCGTTAAATTAATCGTGTTGGAAACAAAAAGACAACATATCAACAACTGTTTCTTCTAAACGGAAAGGTTATATTTCTGTATTATCTACAATTATGAACAAAATACTATGACATATGCAAAGCATACATTCACAAATTTACCCTTCTACTTGGCGCCTTCATCAAGAAAATACGCTGTCTTACCGGAAGAATAATTTGACACAGTATCTGGTTAAAAATAAAGTTAAATGTGTTCATATTTTAAACCACCCAGACCTACTTCATGCAATCTTTTCTCAAACCTATTTATATTTTAGTTATTTGTATTTCCACAATGGGATGCATTTCGCAAGAGACGAAGAGGGGAGTATTGTACGAGTCTTAGGATTTAAAATTCGCATGAGCTGTGTTTACAATGAAGCCTACAGCAGATATTCTACAAAAGTTAATTCCTTTTTAGGATTTCTGAAATTTAAAACTATTGCGGAAAATTGTAAAGTTCCCTAGAAAGTGATTTCTCCTTCCTTGATATCAACAAGCGCAGTTTCTTGTTGAAGGAAAAATACCTGAACAGCATTTGTTTTAAAGTAATGCCGGAGAGACATTTATAACAAGCTGTGGTAAGGCAGAAATGAAGAGAACCATTAATTATAAAGCGTCTTACGAACTTCAACAGAAAAGGATGTATTTACAAATTTTCTTATGAACAATGCTTATTAACTTACCAATACTAATAATGTTTTATTTTGCAGGAAAATCGAAGTGTATATACATCAATTAGTTCAAAAGTATTCCCGAGGCTTTGAATACCGTTTTTTAAACTTTTATTCATAGTTTATGTGTAATTGTTCTAAATTATTGAAAGAGTTTTGAAAATTTGCTTAATGTAAGCACAAGATTAGTCTAATACATTTTTATTGTTTTCCTACAACCATAATCATCGAATAATTTAAAGAAAAGAAAACTGAGATCAGCAGTTTTATAAACAAATGTTCTAAATATTTCTGTTAAAACCCTGTCGTACAGATACCTCTTTTCTTCTAAATTTTCGCATGATGATTCACTAAACACATAACTAATTCACTTACAAAAGGTTTTTTTAGTCAAATTAAAAATAAATTTCGTAAGGGCAACATCTGCCTTTAATTATCTTCTATTCGTAAATAGCTGGTGGGTGAAACATTCTTCTTCGAAATATTTGGAGTATGTTCTAATAATCTGGGTTTGATTAAAGGTTTCTCTTTTTTTTTTCTTCGAATTCATTCTTTAAGTAAATTTTTATCCTTAGCAAACAGATATAAAGAAATTTTTATTTTCTTTATATTCGTTCTTGATATTTTTGTTTGAACAACCGTATGAGAAATAAGGAACGTACATTGTCAGCACTCAGAAACTGTAAAAGTAAGCAGCAGTTTATGAATCAAAATAATAAAATTATAGCAGAATAATGATAAAATACAAATTTGAATTTGAAATCTGATTTTATGTTACGCCCAAACGGGCGATTTTTAATGTTTTGTGTGTTACCTTATGAAATATTATGTTTTAAAAGAGCATATCTTTAGAATTTTCGATACACAGTCTCGCGTGCTGGAGATAATTTTTTTCCCGTACAGTGTTGCCATTACTCGCTTAGAAATGTTGAGTTTGTTAAAAAAAAGATTCTTTAATCCTTGACAAAATATGAAATAGATAATAAAATAAATTCTAAATTTGGGCTTACAGATGCCCATATTCGAATGGAGGACTACGTTATTCAAAATTTGATATTTCTAGGTACCGTTGTTTTTTCACAGTGTGAGAAACATACATACGTTCATGTAGATTCTTCATTATTCAATTTCTTTAAATATAATGCAGGGCTCTGATATCTGGTGGCAACAATTTGAAAAGTAAACCGACATTTATAGTGAATCGACGCAAAATGCCAAAACGAAATTAATGACCCTTCTAGATAAATTGCCCCTTTGGGTTGATAATTATCAAATCATATGTAAATATCTGTAAGTATGCATAAAATAATAATCATGAAATAATTCATACATAAAAATTAATAATCAAAATATCGTAAAGCAGGGTAAAACGGGTATCATCAAAATAATAAGATAATCGTCAAAGTTATGCTAAATAAATGAATGAAGAGTTAACGAAAGGATGAAATAAAAATTTAATAAATAATTAAAAGCAAATTAATTTTAAGATTTTCAACAAATCTAACGCAGCAAAAAAGTAACTACCTTGTTTGTTTACATTAACTAAAGATAGGTTACGTGAATTCTTGAGGTCATCATAATGTATCTCGTTCAAAATTGTAAAGAAAAAGTTCCTTTGATTTTTTTTAGTCATTATTTAACATTAAGAAATGCCCTTAAAAGGGCGTCGCGAAAAGTAGTTTGTAGCATGTGTTTTATGAGCTGAAGGAACATTCACAGAAGTGCGTTTCAGGTAGCGATATTTATGTACAAATCAGTCATTGCATAGTATTGAAAGCATTGCTGAAAGAAAAGCACTATTTTTTGTTGAAGATTCTACACAATTTCAAATTTCTAACAGTTAATTTTTGAAACACATGTCACAAACTATTTGGAACTGGGAGCAGTTATGCTGAATATTTTCATAAATGATATACTTGGCTTTTAGTATTTCACTTATAATCTTTCCATTTGCTAATACGCTAAGAATGCAGAAACAGAAAAAATTGTGTAACTTGCAGAAAACTATTTTACAAAAGACATCTTTTAATTCAAACTGCTAGTTAATAAATTAAACTGATTGCTAGTTCATAAACCAAGATTAATGGCAGTATTTAATTAACCCTTTGAAACGAAAACTTAATTCAGATGTTGTTATCGTAAGAAGAATAAACAGATATTGCAAAAGAAAAGAATTTATGGATTTATTGCACAAAGTTATGATATTAAAATAATTGTTAAATAACTGGAAATAAGCCGTGGAATTATAATTTATAGAAATAAAAAGGAGTTGCAATAAATTATTCTACTGAATTTGAAACAGGATATATGACCAAAAAAGTGCCATAAATCTACGAGAAGTCCTACTATAATAATATTCACGGAATAGTCATAATTATCGTCAAGACAGCTATAATTTAAAAATTGTATGAAACTCCTTTCGATAATATCTAGAAGGATATGGTTAATTTTTCTACCATTCCATGGTTCTTATTCCTCTCAGGCTTCCAACTTCAAAAACATTTCTTCATCAGGTTATCAACTTATTACCATTCGCACTGCCGTTTCACTTTCTGTAAAAGTATTATTTCATTAACATATACAGTTTTATTAAAACATGCAGTTCATTTCATATGCAATCTATCTTCAGTATTTTTGCAGCCACAGATCTCCGGTGTTTTCCAAAATATCCATCTGTTCGTCAAAAATTAAATTTGTTACCTGACGCATGTTAACGTTCTGCTTCAGAAAAGAAATTTAATTTTTGTAACTTAATTGAAATTTAAAATTCGTCCTTGTGAGAGATTAATTGATAACGATCTTTATAGTTTCCAACTCTTGAAAAACATGTAACTGACAGAGGGTTTCTGCCTATTTATTAAATGCTGTAGTCAAGAAATATTCAAGTAGTTCGCTTAACATTATCTATATCATTAAAATATCCGTTTTGCTAGACAATATCGTTCACGCGTTAATGAGTTAGACGTTTTACCACGAACATTGTTAGGTTTAGATAACTATTTTACTAAAAAGCTCTGGCAAAATATCCATGACCAGTGAGATTTAGACGGTTTCCTGAAGCTAAAAGGAACAGTGGCTAAAGAAAAATAAATAACATGAAAGCCCCAAATCTTATTCCAAATCAGTAACATTGCCAAGTGAATACTTAAGAACTATACCGAAAAATAATGTTTGCTCTTTCTGTTTCATACAACAAACGTGATTTTAAGTTTTTGAAATTTCGCAATTACTATTATATAATATTTTAGGTATCTATCAACATTAGATAGTGCAGAAATATACCTATGTTTGTCGTGAAATCCACATCGATTTCAAATATTTATATCCAGCTGTAAATTTTGATAGATGCAAATAAATTTGTAAAATGGGACAGTGCGGGTGAAGTATGTGAATCTGTATAAATCTAATCTATTTCCTGCTGTATTTATACAGTTAAATACATTATAATAAATAATTTTAACACATTGCCTGTCGTATTATGTACATATGAATAACGATTTCATTTTATGGGATTATTTACTATAGGTTTAACACGTTTTAAAAAAAGCATGTTGAACCTTTTGGAGCAGCAGGTCTTGGTAACTTTTAGGCGAGCTTACTACAATTTTTATATTTTACTTATTTTGCAGCATATTGCGCAAGATGTTTTCTAGACCAAAATTGGTTTTTTTAAAAATTATAATTACTACTTTGCTTGATATGTTATATATATATATATATATATATATATGTGTGTGTGTGTGTGTGCATGAATGCTTAAATTTGTGTGAATTGTGGAAATTGAAGTAAAAATAGCATAAGCTCATTTTAGTATTTTGTATTGATTGGAGCATGGTACGCAATATTAAAGAAACTTTGATAAAATGTTTAAACGAAATTGTATGCACATCTGAAAATACCTAATAACTGTTCTCCTTTCATTTCAGTTTTGTAGTAATTTATATCATCTGATTCTTCAAGATTCATCAGAATTACAGAAGCAGGAGCCATTTCACGTCGATTGTGGTTTGATAGAGAATGTTCGCTCTCTGCTGTTACGTTGTAGACCTTTAAGCTGCTCGCAGTAATGACTCACCCAACGTTTGGAATACGTAATTTATATTTTAACTGGAAAATCTTTGTTTGCAATTCACTGTTTGTTAGAAATGTAGGAAAATTAAATGGAAGAAATAAATATCAGACAAATTAGATAAATAAATAATTACCTATATTTGAAATCAGAAAAAAGTAATTATGTGTCTGAAATAACAACTTGGATATCGTAAAAATTGATACTTGTCATTAGCCGCATATACTTCTATAAAATGTCCCACATTTTCTTACCACTATGAAATTGTTAAGATGAAAAAAACCTGCTCGTCACTATTATCTGATAACTAATAAAATGCGTTTAAGGGATAGGACAGTTCATTGTAATCCTAAATAGTTCAAATGGTTCATGGAAGCTTTACAAATACAAGAAATTTAAGAGGAGTTTACAACAAATTTCGATTGTTTGAACAAAGGCATGTGACTTTTAAACAATATCACTTGAATTGAAGCAAGTATATTCTTTAGAGTTTCTTCAAAAATGTCTGCAGTGTTATTCTTTTAATCTATTTTGGCCTTGCTTTCAGACGTACTTTAATTTTGTATTCATTTAAATGCTGATTGGGTTTACGAATAATTTTCAAATCATTAAGTAGATTAAAGAGCAAAAAAAATATGATGCGCGTAGCAACATCAGATAAATGATAAAATCAGTATGAAAATATTCATAAATGGGTAGAAGAGATTGTAATATTCAGAAATTCTAAATAATATTTCAGATGTAAGTAAATCGAAATAAATATGCGTAACAGTAATATATTTTTTTTTGAGTTGACTGAATGACAAATTTTTGAATTTAAGATTTTAGCTCTCAAATGGATGACATAGAGAACATGATAGATTAATGAATAAGATAACATTACGAATATTAAGATGTATGAAAGATTTGTCAATAATTTTAGTCCTATATGTATTATTTAACACAAAATAAATAAAATTTATCCAAGAAACAGGTACGTGGGAATCAGATGCAGATTCTGTAAGGATATTTTACGCTTAAATTAATGCCCAAGTTCTGTAAAAATATAAGCAATATTTTAGATATTTTCTGAAATTTGTAATTCCAGGCTTTAGGCAGAAAAAAAGTTTAGCTAACCTTTCATTAACTTAGAAGCAACGGTAATTTTAAATATCAAGCGTAAGTATGAAACTGGGATAGTGCAACGAATCGAAGGAGTTTGTAGGAGTAGAAAAGAGTAATGCTTCTGAGTTTAACAAAAGATAATTTTAATAAAAGGAATATAAATAAATTAAAACTATAAAATTTCACCAGCAAATATATGAATATAAAAACACAGTTACAGAACTGGAACACAAAGAAAATAGGAGATAAAATAACCCAAAATAGGAGATCCAAATCTGCAGAACTTGTTTAGGCCCACATTCAATGAAATTCGTAACAAAATTACAACTTATCATTTACTTTCTTGATATTACGAAAAGCGCGCACAGACATGTGTATATATATATAGTTGCGTGAGTACGGGTACGTTATGAATTGAATGCACAAATCCGATGAAAACTGAACAACATTTATTATTATCAGAACAAATAAAACAACATGCTTAAATTTACTCAGATATTCTTGCAGTATTACAATATCTCACAGTAGTTATCTTTTAACTACTCATACGTTCAACAGAACTTAATTCAAAACAGCTAGAGAAAGCAAATCCGCAAAATTCGCTATAGTCAACAAGAGCAGTTTTCTAAACAAACTCTTAAAAAAACAACAACTAACTGAAGTTGTGAGGTTTTCCTCCTTTTTATAAGCTTTTTAAATCATGCGCGAGATTGTTCTAGCAAATTCTCGAAATCCAAAAGAGATATTTATTTATTAAATCTTAAATGCACGTGCTCTTGTATTTTTAATTTTCCGGGTCAACTTTTTTTAATGTTCGTCATGCACAGGGGAAATAAAACAATTTATTTATAATTATATTAGCATTAACTATTTAAATATCAAATACGTAACACTGCCCCCTTCCCAAGGACTGTACGTTCCGGGCAGTGCAATCCCTGGACAGGAAGCCAAACCTACAACTAAGTCATATAGGCAATAATATACATTACATTACAACAACAAACAACATGAACAATAAATGAAATAACTAACTTAAAGAAATCAAATGTTATCAAATACTAAAAACCAAATACTAAATACAAGTCAAATCAAATGCACATTTAGAGTTTAAAATTGTTATGGTCTTACGCTATTTGCAATTACTTACACTACGTACTATGGCCATAGTAATGAGCTAACCTGACGTAATGAACGACTTTAGGTTTAGGGTTCAATGACTTACAGATCCGAGCCACGACGTCATTCAGCCTGTTTAAGACTGTACGGACCATCCCAAGATAACTGTAATTTCGGACAGAGTCCTTTCCATCGAGTCGGATTCCACAACCACACCTTGTCTCCGTGAAATTGATGTTCAGTAGCGTCGTGTCAGGTCTTCATCTTCTCCGTCGCCAGGTTGACTCGCTCTCGTGCAAAGTTGTGCATCACTTCAAACTGGGCCTGGAGATCTTGAATATATTCCTCAGGCAATGAAGGAGCATCCGGAGGGCGAGCAAACAAGAGATCACAAGGCAGACGAAGCTGACGGGGAATAGCCGGTAGTCTCGTGGAGAGCACTGAGGTAAGCCAGTAAAAAAGTGGTAATTTCTTGTCTCAGTCCTGTTGGTTTATGGAAACCATGATCAGAGGTTATTAAGGATGGTTTGATTGAACCTCTCTACCATGCCGTCCGACTGAAGATGTAATGGCGTCGTTTGAGTTTTGTCAATGTCAAGTAGTTTGCATAGTTCTTTGATTACTTATGAGGTAAAATTCCTTCCCTGATCGAAATGTAATTGAAGAGGCACTCCGAACCTGGAAATCCAATGCTGTATCATCACCTCAGCTACTGTGACAGCCTCTTGATCAGGAATAGGATACGCTTCAGGCCACTTGTTTGAGTAATCAATGACAATGAGTCTGTATTTGTTGCCATCAGCAGTTCGTGGCAGAGGCCTCAAGATGTCAAAGGCGATACGTTCAAAAGGCGCACCTACGTTGTAATGTTGCAGCTTGCCTCGGCTGCGTTTCCTCGGTCCTTTCTGACCTGCACAGGCATCGCAAAATCGACACCACTTTTGCACGTCATCCTTTGCATCCTTCCAGTGAAAGCGCTCACGAACTCTCTGCAAGGTCTTCCAATATTACAAAGTGACCTCCTCTAGGGCTGTTATGTAGTTCTTTAAGGACATCAGGAATCTGGGATCTTGGAAGTATCAGTTGCTATCAGAAAGTTTTCACATCATCCGATCCGAATTTTTGGTATAAGACGCCGTTTCGAATGTGAAGTGAATCCCAGAGTGCTCAGTATTGTTTTGTTGTAGGACTATAGATAGAAATGTCCTGCCGGGTAGGTTTTCTGTTTGATGACTCCATTGAATCAATTATGGGTTTAATGTCACGGTCTTCCTGCTGGTCTTTCCTGACTTCATCATCAGTCACGGGTCTTGATCAGCGGATGTTGATGTCGTAATTTGTCGTGCGACCGGACGCAGTAGCTCTTATTTCGCTTCGACCCTGGAACAATATCGGCAGCTTTCCGGACAAGGTCTTCTAGACAAGGCGTCGGCGTTTCCGCGTGATGATCCCTTCCGATGATGGATTGTGATGTCATATTCCTGGAGTCTCTGTATCCACCTGGCTATTTGACCCTCAGCATTCTTTAAACCCAGGCCAATAATGCATGATCTGTGCTTAGCAGGAATTTTCTGCCGTCTGCCTCGCAATGATGGAAATGTTCTACGGATTTGAATATGGCGAGCAAATCTTTCCGGGGGACACAGTAATTCCTCTCCGGTTTAGACAGGCACTACAAGTTCTTGGCCGTCTATTTCTTGGGAAAAAACAGCACCGACACTTTCATTGCTCGCGTCCGTGTCAAGAATAAAAGTTCTGTCGAGCTGAGGATACGACAGGATTGGAGCAGATGTTAAAGCTTCCTTTAAGTTGTAAAATGCATTCTCGCATTCTTTAGTCCACAAGAACCTTTGCTTTCTCTCTGTCAGCTTGTGAAGGGGTCCTGGGGTGGAAGAAAATTCCTTCACGAACTCTTAAAATAACATCAACTGACTGAATTGAGAGGTTTTCCTCCTTTTCATAAGCTTTTTAAATGACGCGCGAGATTGTTCTAGCAATTTCTCGAAATCTAAAAGAGATATTTATTTATTAAATGTTAAATACACTTGCTCTTGTATTTTTAATTTTCCGGCTTAGCTTTCTTTTAATATTCATCACGCGCTGCACTGCAGGGGGAATAAAACAATTTAATTTATAATTCTACTAACATTAACTATTTAAATACCGAATCCGTAACATTATATGTATTTATATACATATCTGTGTGTATATTAATATATATATTGTTGATACGTTGATATGTATATAAATATTTATATCAACGTATCAACAAAAAGATAAACTTAAAATGAAATATCTATGGGGCTTAGAAGTTAGGGGGAAAGAAATGATGAGAGTCTCAAAATGTGGCTGAAATACGAAAGCAAAAAAATTCCGAAGAATGAGTTAAGCAATATATTCATAACTTAGTTTGAGTATAGGAAACTGGTCTCTACTTTTGAAAAGAGTAGATATCTTTCCAAATCATATCCAATTCTGAAGTGTACTGTGAAAAGAAGTTCTCAATATTGTTATGTATTAATCGTTATATTTTTTTTAAGCTTAAGTTGTTTTGCTTATTTCAGTTTTGATTTGTAATTGAAGTTCTATTTTTTTTATTGTTGTTTAAAGTGGGTTGTAAGTTTAAATTGTAACTCTTGTAAACTTTAAGTTTTGGTTAGGTTGCTTTAAAAAGTTCTGAGTTGAAGTTGTTTAATTTTAATTTGAGTTTAGGGACTTAGTTTTTTTGTTTTTGTTCTAGTTGTTTTGACCCTTAAGGTGTTTAACTTTTAACTTTAATTTTTTTTATTTTAAAACTTTGTTGTTGCACCTTGTGTGTTAATTTTTTTTTTCTTAACTTTGAGTAATTTAATTGGTATCCCTCTTTCTTTTA